AATCTTGTAAACCAATATCAAGTCTCCCCTCTTCCGTCGTTGTTCCAATGATGTAAGATTTAGACATCTTAATCGGGTTTGATAATTTTGTGTTCTATAGCCCAATACCTTTTTTGTAGCCCTTCTTTGAACTTTTTCCAGCAATTCCTTATCCCGCTGTAAAATTGGTGACCACACAACATTGGCATATTCCAAAATTGGCCGTATATACGACTTAAACAATTTCAGAAATGTATCTCGTGAAGGGTGTCTAAATGCATTGAATAACATATAGGATGCAGAATTTGCTTTTAGTGCAACGTAAGCCACTTGATTGGACCAAGATAGATCAGATGTTATTATAACACCTAAATCATTTTGACTATCCACCATTTTTACTGCCTCATTATCTATTATGTAAATGTGTTTGGGGTTGTTGGTACCCAAGTGCAATACTTTACACTTGCCGTTATTCAACGGAATCAACCAGTCTAAGCACCAGCGGTAGACAGTGTTTAAATCCGTTTGCAGTTCTCGATAATTTTGAATAGGATTAGCATACAGTTTACAGTCATCAGCATAGAAAACATGATTTGACGAAATTAAATGAGGTAAGTCCGATATGTAGAGGATGAAAAGCAGTGGTCCCAATACAGAACCCTGCGGGACACCAGACACAACCACCCGTTCAGAGGATACCGTATCGCCCACTCTGACGTAAAACTTACGACCATGAAGAAATGATCTGATCCATTTCAATAATGGGCCTCGAATCCCAAAATTTTCTAATTTAGTAATTAAACGAAGATGCGGTACCCGATCAAAGGCTTTTTCAAAGTCCAAATAGATCACGTCAACAGGATTCTTGTTATCGATTTGTGAACCCCAATCATCTACACATTTTAACAAACATGAAGTGACTGACCGACCTGGAACAAAACCGTGCTGAGTATTTGGAATTAAACTGTAATCAAGTGCCCACCCTCTCAGTTGCTTACAAATCATTCTCTCCAGAATTTTGCAACACACAGATGTGAGACTTATGGGACGATAGTTCGAAGCTAATGTTTTGTCCCCTGTCTTGAAAATAGCTGTAACAGACGCTTTAAGCCAATCCGATGGTAAACGCGAATCGATTAATGACCTTTCCATTATATGAAGCAACGGCTTTACAATCTCATGGGCACAACTCTTTAACACATTACAAGTAATGTTGTCAGGACCCGGCGCACTATCAATTTTTAAAGCTGATAACTCATTTAGTAAACTTTCCCCTGTTAAGATCACATTTTCGAGACACTCCGTGAGACGAGGTGTATTAATTATAGGTAGTACACCTGGTGGTTCAGTAACATAGACACTTTCAAAGTAATCAGCTAGCAAGTTCGCAGTTTCCAAATTACTTTCGCTTAAAGATCCGTCAGGTCTCCTGATTAGCGGCATTGATACTTTACTCGACATTTTCTGTCGTGCATATTTATAAATTGCCTTGTTACCTTTTCCAATTAAACTATTTTCATACTGAGTTTTTGCTTTTTTAAAATCAAAAGACAATTTGTTGGAAAATTTACGATGTTCCCTGTAGTCAGATTCCAATTTAGTAGCCTTAAATTTCTGCCAAAGTCTTTTCTTAATCTTGATAGCCTTCATTAGTTCACGTTTAATCCATGGCTTTTTCTGATTAACCTTCACAAAAAAAGTTGTAGTTTCAGCTGTTATTATGCTATTTACAATATTATGAAAATGCTTCCAAGCCACGTCCGGATCAGCAGTATTATAAGTTACCGACCAATCGCAATTGTTAGCCAGGTAATGTTTAATTCTTGGGATATCAATTTTAGTGATCTTTTTCTTCATATGCTTAGGTTCCTTCTTCACAAGTATTTGAACATTGAACTCTAGCACCGCATGGTCTGACTTTCCCATGGGGGATGATACTTGTACATCACCCACTAAATTCGATTGGTTTGTTAGCACCAAGTCTAAAAGTGAAGGTGTCTGGCCACTACGAAATCTTGTTGGCTCGGTAACTAATTGGACAAGACTAGAATTTACTATCAGATTCGAAAACAGACCATAACTACTGTGATTTGCAGAAATTGACTTTAGAGGCCAACTGATACAAGGAAAGTTAAAATCTCCAGCCACAATAAAATTGCTATGAGCTTCGCTTAGTCGTCTAAGTTCAGATATCAATATAATATCGTTTGCTATCAAAGTACTAGAGGGTCGATATACACATCCAAGAGAAAAAGTAAATTCGTTACTGCAAAGTTGTAAAAATAAGGATTCAATCTGCGGAGTCTCAACCTTTACTCTGGACACTCTAAACCGTTGGAAAATTGACTTATTAAGCAGAACACAAACGCCCCCACCCCTTCCGTCACGATCAGTTCTATAAACATTATAATCTGTTAACCCTAAGGAAGCATCAGGAATTTGAGAAGACAACCAAGTTTCAGTCAGTAACACACAAGCTGGGTTGTTTGCGTGGATGTACAATTCCAAGCATCGTAATTTCGACATTAGGGACAAAATATTGGTATACATTATGTTTATATTAAAGAGTTTGAGGGCGTCAGAGAATCCTGGAACTCGAAAAGAAGATGTAATTACGTTATTATTCATGATCACGATCTAAATGTTCATGTGAGGATGAAACAGTCCAATTTAGATATTGATCATAAGCTTTCTTAAGTTTCCTTTGAACTTTGATGTTACGATTTATTATGCTCGTATGGGTAAGAACACTATGTATTGTCAGAAAAATAATCCAAAAGCGTTTATATGAAGGTTTATGTAGAGTACAAAGACTGGTCTTCAAAGAAGCAGGTCGCTGGGACCTCAGAAAATGTGCTTTTACTATATTGTCAGAGAAAGAGAAATATCGTCCCTGAAGTTTGTAAAATTTTGCTGTCTGTCGTATCTCCATTATCTCTATTAATGTTATCTTCCACCATCTACCAATTACCATGCATGTAGTCAAGTAATGGTACTTGCATACATTTATTCACTTTAACAAATAATCACATCAAGTATTTCGTACAGAACCTCAATCTTATTTTTGAACCTTGGGCGCAAAAGTTGAACTTTACTACCTCTAAGCAAGTCGACAAATGCATGCTTTATGGCTGCTAGTGAAAAAAGTTCTTTTCGGCCTCGGTGCACGCAACGCTTTTTAGGAGATCATAAGGAAAAATATATTTGGTTATATAAGTGGTTTTGAGGTTAGAAAATCTTTTTTTGCTACTTGGCTCGTCTACCAAGAAACAAATTGGTACCGTCGTACTTCATAATCATAACGATATTTAGTAAAGGTGGAGATCAAATAATGGAGTTTTTTTTTTATAAAAAAAGTAGTTCAAAAACACAAGACGAATGACGCAAAAGTAGGTTTTCAGCATCTGAGTACAAAAAAGTGACACTTCATGGACGTGTTTGGGGACGTAAAACTACAAGGTAGATTTGTAATGGTCACCTCGAAAATATAAATATATTACATAATATAGTTGTCTGAAGAATTCTTTGGATCTACTGGGCAAATTTAATAAGATAGTGCCTATACCTGATAACAGATCCTTAGTTTCTGATGACGTTTCTAACCTTTTTAATTCAATTTCTGCATCAAGTTTGTTCTTTATTCCACAAAAGTAAGTACCTAAACAGCTTTCGCTTTTTTACTAGTTGAAACAATAGTTAGCAAAAATGTCAAATTTAGTAATAAAAATTGCCCTTTAGCAAACTCCTTGTGAATAATTTTGGGACAAAAAATTGGATTTTTTTTTAAATTTCTATTTTGTTGAATTATGCATGCGAATGACGTCTGTATTTGTCTGGACCAAATATAATCACATAAATAAACATCAAATTGTAATTTACGTTTGAGATGGAACAAAATATCACACTTGAAATTTGTGGAAATTAGTAACTAAATAGAACACAATACGATCTAAAATCGTATCTTTTTCGGTTTTGCTTGAATTGTCACAGTATGTATAAGAAATTATGCGTTCAGGGTAAGTAGACAGAAATACGGTACCTAGTATCATTTTCAGTTAAAAAAATTTCTGTACACCCTTTGAACCCCCTGGGAACAGTTTACCTTTTCTTCTTTTTTTTTCTGAAATCTTGCAAAATTTCAAAAATACTTATTTAAGTAATATTTTACTATAAAGGAACGTAGTGAAACATTGAAAATTATTACGTTTTTAGAGTTATTTGATATTTGAATAATGTCAAAATAATTTACCTATCTATAGAATATAATCTGAGTAAAAAGTTTTAATTCATTTTGAGTCTTTTGTCATGGAAATAATTGTGACAACTATTTTTTAATAAAGCCGAAAAAAAATAGCCAGGTATATTCAACACTGACGTTGGTAGAAGGCAGCGCCACTACCAATATAGGAGTAATTAATTTTTTGTAAGCTCTTACAGCATAAATAATTTTAACAAGGTTGTTGGAAAAAGCATAATTTATATATAAAGTTCCATTTTAAACCATATTTAAATATTTTATCAAGAAGCAATTCCAAATATGTATCCCATTGATAGCAATCAGATGGTTCAGGTTGAAAATATTGCTTAAGCTTCCATGTTCATAATATTTACTAGCTGAAATGATATATATTCATTTGCTAAAAAGATTTAAAACTTTAGCTTGAAATACTTACACAAAATACTTCAGGAACGTAGCTTACTTCACTATACCTGTTATACTGCATGTCCTAAACAAGCGATAACCCTAATCTAAATATTGGAATTAAATAATCAATTCCAAAAGCTTAGATACTACCGTTTTTACCAATAAAAAAGATCAAAGATGAGTAGCAATCGTCGCAGGCAATTAATCTTTCATTTCTTGTCTTTTAAAAGCGGCGGCATTTATCCTAAACCTTTGATACATTATTTACGCGTACGAAACGAAAAATCCTATAATTAATAAAGACTTACGGAGAACAAAGAAAATTCCCGATATTTAAGAAAAAGTCAACGATACCTGAACCACAAACTTACTTGTCATGACGAACGTAATCGCCGAGAGCTTTCACGTTGTAATTTTTATACTAAAATTTTGTGGTCTCTACCACGATGGCAACCGATCCGTCCGACTAAAAATTCGCACATATGTGTTATATTTTTCTGGTGTTTTAACTTCAATATTAACTGTAATTAAACTCATCCTCGAAGAAAACAAAGACATCATGCAGATAAACCAAATGGTAATATTTTTCACTGTTGCGGCTTCTGGTTATTTGAAGCTGGTGTCATTTTTAATCGACGCACCGAGACTTAAAAAGTGTATCGAATTTTTTGGGAACACATATAAAGCCGTGATAATAAAAAACAGCGAAGAGAAAAGAATCCTGGACGATTGCCTCTACGTGTGTCGGAGAAACGTGAACATTTACATAAGTGTAATCACATTTACTGGAGTTTGTTGGAACGTTATACCTTTGTTTGATAGAAAGTATAGACTTCCGGTGAATATTTGGCTGCCGTATGAACCAACGAAGCGGCCTGTGGTTTTTTATGTGACGTATTTCTACGTTGTTGCAGGTAAATCGACAATATTTTATCTAACTGTAGGTATAAAGCTTTATTTTTTTTAAATTTATGTCTCTAAAATAATGTTCATGTTTTGGTGTCAAACTTTCTACAGCTTATTTATATTACACATTTGTAAGGGAACTAGGGGCTTGTTGTAACAGGGGTAAGTTGTAACACTAAATTTTTACCCGGAATTTAAACTCTTTAACGTCAGGTTTTTTACTGATTTTAATTCTTGCACCATAAGACATCATGTCATCACAACCACTGTTCCTCCAGCCAGCGCAGTGAGTGGATGTGTGCACGCGTTTCGTTTTGGCCTAGTAATATAAAATATTGATTTAGTAAAATTTGGTTTTTCGTATCTGTTATTAATTAATTTTAAACTTTTAGTTTTACATGTAGTTCAAAAATTACTCAGCTTTGATATTCCTTACACATTTTGAAGCTAAGCGACATAATTTTTTCGAAATGTAATTAAATGTAGAAAATTGTGCTACGGGGCATGTTGTAACAATATCTGAGGGGCAAGTTGTAACATGTTACAACTTATCCCAAATTCACTTCTACAAATCTCGTACCTAGCATACGAAAAGTGAGCGAAAATTTTGACCTATGCCATATATCGGTTTCCAAATATATTAAGAAAAAGGAAAATAAAACTCAAATCTTTAATGTTGACTCTTTTTCTAAAAGTTTATTTGAGTTTTACTGATAAATATTATATATAATAAAGTGTCGTGTTGATTTTTGAAAAATAAAGTCTAAATATGTGTCAACATCAGCTTTATTGTTACTGGTACTACCTGCCTCATGGCTGTTACAACTAGCCCCAAACACGGGGCAAGTTGTAACAGTGCACTTTTTTTAAAAAAATACCTGTTATAAAGTGAATATGAACAATTTTGACCTTTTGCCTGTTCAGTCCAGTAGGGGAATAGTTAGACTACCGACAGATACTTTTATGATGGTCAAACAGCTAATAGATACCAAATTATATTCGTTTTCCTAAAAACTGTCACAACAAGCCCCTCGTTCTCAACTACCTACTATGGTGTCCAATATTATTATATTTTCTAGTCGTGTTCTACCTTGGGCTTGCTAGTACCATGATAGAACCATTGCTAGGAGGGTTGGTGTACCATGCTAGGGGTCAGTTGAAAATTTTGAAGTATAATCTGGGTAACCTAATAGACGATGATCTAAAAAAGAGCAATAAGTATTCTGTGGTTATTTTCGAAGCAGCATCGGAGGTTCTAAGGCAATGTATTCTTCACCACAACAACATACTGGAGTAAGTTAATTTTATAAGATTATTTTTAAAACATTCCAAATGTATTTTAGGTTCCTTAATGAATTCGAAAACTGTTTTTCTTGGTGTGTATTTTGCCAAATATCAGGCACAACAATCGGCCTTGCCTTTTGTTCGATAGGACTAACACTGGTAAAGTAGTAACTTTTAAATTGCTTTAGTTTAAGTCAGTTTATAGGCTTCTTCTATCGATATGAATGCCATCACATTAGCAACGTGCTATTTCGTTATAGCTTTTCAGTTATTTTTTTATTGTCATTATGGAACACTACTTTTTGAAGAGGTACACAGGACTGAAGTTAAAATTTTTTCTACTTGTTGTCTTTGTTATCTTGTAGAATAATGGTTTGATAGATGCGATTTATAAAGGTCCTTGGTATATATATGACAGAAAAATTAAGAAAGTATTACTGATAATTATGGAACGTTCAAAAGAACCCCTTTATTTGACGGCTGGAAAGGTAATTAATTTAACCTATGAAACGTTTACGACGGTAAGAATTTTCGAAATGTTTTAGAAATTGACATATACTTTGTGTTTTTAGGTTCTGAAAACGAGTTACTCCTTGATTGCTGTTTTTACAAATTATAAATGATTATGAAACATTTTGAAATGTACTTTAATGGTTTTTTAGTGGGAGATAAAATTGTTGAAATAAAGAACAAAATTTCGATTTTGTGTGTAATTTCTAAACAGAATTTGTTGCACTTTGAAAATAATTTTGAACTGCTGAAGCTGACTTAAATTATTTCCATCCTCACTGTATATATATATTTCACAAACGACAACCGTATATCAGTAGTACATACTACTATAATGCTAACAAAAATTAACATACTCGGAAACAAAATTGATGACAGCGGAAAAACTATTTTACTATTATCCTAAAATAATTTTCATTATAATTATTACAACTTAATACACCACAAATTATTATGCAGCTGTTCATGAAATTGAAAATAATATTAAATTCCGATTTAATTTTTAGTATTTCAAAGACATGTATAGCAAGAGAGTTTATTTTTACACATAAACAAGTTGATCGTTGTCTAAATATATTTAGAACGTAGTTCTGCTAAGAATATATCACACAGTTTGTAAGTGTTTCTAACGGTTTTATCATCCTGATAAAGCAGCTTAGTCATAGTTAGATCAGAGTATCAACAATCGATAGTGGTATCAATTACATCAATTCATGTTGTTAGAAATTATTGCTTATAAATTTTAAATACTATATAATAAATCTTTTTACTTCTCATTATCTCATTAAACTTGTTAAAAATTATTATATTCATTCAATCGCAGCGATTTGCACGTTTATCCATCAAACTATAGAAATCACCGCACGACGCAGTAAATCGATGCACCGTATGTCGGTAAAACGAAATTTAATTACTTCATTTTACAGAAAAAAAGGTTAATACTTTGCATTACATTGGAATCAATGAGACATATTGATTTTTTATGTCGGTTAGTCACATCTCGGGGAACAGACTTTAATCTATAATTCATGCTTGGCTTAATCTCATAATTAAAATATGGGATCGAGGGAAATGCACTTGCATGCAATTTAACGAATAGGTTTAGTCACTACGTACGCAGAAGTGTAACAGGCGTCGTCGTAGATAGTTTAATAGCAGTCATAGTGTTCGTGTACTCATTATTTCAGTGTTTTTTAGGTGTTAAAAGTTGAATCTGTGCTGCGACGATACAAAATAATAGTCGTCCTATTATATTATGGAATAAAATTAATTCCATCCGTTATGGTAATTTCTCCAGTGAAGTTCAAACTTTAATTCATACAGAAAATTGTGAAACAGTGAGAGGATAGATAACACGCATCGAATATTTTCTTTGGTAATAGTTACTACTTGAAAATACTTACTTTATATTTTTTAGGAGCAGAAAAGGGTCTATAATTTGTCCAAAATATGTGTAACCCATTCGGCAGATCATTCAACAATAAAAAAGACTGACGAAACACATGAAATGTATATAAAAATCTGAAAGAGAAAATTTATTTTGTTCAAATAAATCAGTTTGCAGTGTAATGGCACGGATGAGTTGAGGTTTAAACAGGTGAGTCACAAAGCGCCCAGTCCTTGATATTTCATTAATTATATTATTAATTACATATAGAAAAAAAGTCAGAGTTTATACTTGTACGCCTCTTTGAATGGTATATGTTAAAATTATTTTCGACTATACAGAAATCGTTGTTTTCGAGGTACAGCCCATAACTTGTTTCCTTGTTTCGTTTTTTTTTTTTTAATATTCTTATAAATCTCTTTCTAGGCTTTATAGCCATAGTTTATTTTTGAAATTCTGTTGCCATGTTGCCATTTTTTTATTTTATTTTTAGCGAATATAAGATTTCACAAAAAATCGCCATCACGTTATTTTTGAAATCTGTGTTGCAATATTTTACAAACACATAAATAGAAGTACGCGCGTTATGGAATCAATTAAATAAAATTTTAGTACACGAGAGTGTTTATAAAAAAATTAAACCTTACAATGTGTCGATGTGTCCCTTAAAAAAAGTAAAAAATCTCAATAAGTATAACTTTAATTATATTTAATGAAAAACAAAGAGAACAAAAAAAAACAGAATAAGACGCAGTAATAAAATAAAGGTTTTCTATTTGAAAAATCTGAACTATCGATATTTGAAAATTGTTATAATTATTTTTTATAAACACTGGATATTAAAATTTAATTTTATTTATATCACAATAAAGGGCGTAAATTTACCTCCCCACAACATATCGCAACACAGGTTTAAAACCAACCATATTACGATTTGTTGTGAACCCTTCCGTTGCTAAAAAATTTCAATTGCATTAATTGGGCAATATGCCATCGTAAATTCAAAAATAAACTATGGTTATAAAGCCTAGCCAGAGATTATGTTTTATTCTATAAAAAAATAAGAGTAATAAGTTGTGCTGTGACTTAACAGAACACTCTGTACAGTTGAAAATAATTTTAATATGCTCCTTAGACAACTGTACAAGTTTATTCTATAACTTTTTTTCTACTTCTAATAATAATTAATGACATATCGAGGAGCGCACATTTAGTGACTTACCTTGAATAATTGCACCTTTTCCTTCCTTGAATGAACTAAGTATTGTTTATAATAAATAAATAAATAAAAATATAGTATACTAATTAAATTATTTGTCCGATCCTTTCCTTATTTTTCAGCCACTTTGTTCAACTCTATTATCTTCCAAAATTTATCACATTCAGTTATAACTTGCATCCTGCCATTTGTCTAGTTCATCATATTTTCTCTGTCTTACCATTTGTAAGTTAATCATTCTGTAAATCTTTTTCTGCATCAATTTTTGTGGTTTTGTTAAGATTTATCTCATTCCTCTCTTTGTCATCGTTACAACACTTACTCACGTAACAAACTGCTTTTTTTCTCTCTTTTCCGCATCTTCAACCCGTCTACCTGTAAACATTTCAAGATATCCCTTGGCATGTGTACACTTGTCCCGTATTTTAAAATAAATTTTGACAAAACACCCACACACTGGTTCTCTTTCGTTCCCTAGATATTGATTTTGGTAAATCCCTTTTCTAAAAACCCGTAGCCTTTCTAGTAAGGTAGCCTCACACACACTTTATAAGTAAAGTTTGTCCAGAATGATAAGAATTTTATGGACTCCCAACGTTAATTCGTTTTACAGCCCAGGCATCAATTCTATTGTACAGGTAAAGAGCCTGTCAGGGGAAAGCCGATGCTTACTGTACCTGAGTTCGTCCCGCTCTTCAGCTGTACAATAAAATTGACAACAGGGCTGTAAAACGAATTAACTTTGGGAGTCCATAAAATTCTTATAATTCTAGACAAACTTTACAACCGTTCAGAAAGGTTATTTCATTGTAGCCTCGTGCATTTTCTGCATCCGTTTCCTCACAATATAACTTTCGATTTTTCTTTGCACCTCACACCTATATAACTATTACTACCAGGTTGTGAATACATAATTCATTAGTTATTAGTTTTTTACCGATACGGTTCCCTCTTATTGATTTTTTTGTATCTCTTTTATTCATTTTGCCGTCTACTTTTATAAACGCCTTGCAGTAATTCTTTTAGTGCATATTTTTTGACCTGAATAGTTTCTCATAATTACTATCTTACCAGTTGTTTTCATTATGTTTCGTTTTTATATTTTTTACTTTCTTCAGCACATTTAGTCTACCATCGACATTAGGTTTTTAAATTCCGCTTTGTCTACCTTTGTTTTGAAATATCTAGGCTAATATAATTCCGATTTTTTAATTATTTATTTTGCCACGAATATTTCTATGCAGATAACTCTTTTTCTCATTTTTTTTTACAGTAAGTGCTACTGCTATGATTCTCTCCATCATCTAATTTTATTTATTTTTTCTGCTTTCGTCTATATTTGCAGTGATATAATTGGTAGCAAATTGTTCACTCTTTATTACACATGTCAATTTTGATTTTTCATATCTTTTGCAATGTCAAATTCTTATCGTGCTCCTAAAATAATTGCCTTTTTTATCTATTTTCAACTCTTTGATTTGTTATCACTCCTACTGTTTTTTTTCTGACTGACCCCCCACTATTGATTTTTGTCTGGGTATTTTACTTGTTTTAACATTTATAAATTTTCACTATATTCATAGTTCTATGTGTAATTATTTTGACACTATATTAACACTACACCCTTTTTTTTGCCTTTTAACCATGTATTGTATGCGATTAATTTAGAAATTGTTTGTTCCTTGTTCAAAAAAAAAAAAATTATTTTAGAATTTTATTGCCATGTACAAGAGTTTCATGTTATATATAAATCACAGTATGTCATAATACAATGAGATGACAGAAGATCGTACATTAAGTCAGACTTCAAAAATTTATGAATAGTCTTTTAATAAGGATTTTCTTTTCCTACGGTAGGTAGCAAATGTATTATTGGAACCGAATTATTGGTTGCCTACTAATCAGACAGTAACGCACCACAAAGGTTTAGGAAGTTAGGTAATGAGCATGACTGACATTTTTGGCAGAACAACTTTATAATATGTATTGTTATTTTGAAGTAAAAGAGGATTTGTGTCGAAAGCAAGATAAAGTAGAAAATTTTGTAAAGTTACAAAAATATTTTAATAAACAAGTTATACAGAAAGATATTTTTTACTGACATTCATTTTTCTAAATTTGGAAAATCTAAACTGTCTTTTTCGATTTTGTTGTGCTTCTAAATAGCAGTCGTCAAAAAATATTTTGTGTACATCATCCTAGAACTTCACGAGTGACGAAAATTTATTTTTAACGCTTCAATTCCATCCTTCGTGGGGCATATTTACATATTTTATGTGACTGTAGACAAGGAAGTATCTAAATGTTCTGCAGCATAATTAATCGTAATAAAATAATAACACAGTAGGAACAGCTAAATTTATTTTATTATGCAGCTGTGAACAAAAATTTAATCTAAGACCTAATTTCTCAACAGTCTGCAGTTGATTCTCTCATTAATAGTTTCTTAATGCCCGTACTTGTGAATAAAAAATGCCTCGCTTGTTGCATAAATTATTATTTTAAATATTTCTTTTCTTCTATTGCTACTTTTTCACTTCCAACGATCAGTTAAAGCTTCAGACAGCAATTAATTTGAAATAAGTGTACTATAAAAGTAAATTAAACCAGTTCTAACGACTGAAATTGAGTGGGACGGGTTTGTACCATAATAGTAAACTATTAAATAATTCGTTAGATTTTCAATTTATTACAATATTGGTTTTGACAGTTTTGTGGTTTACTTTATAATACACTTAAATCAGTTCGTATTGTTTTTAACATGAACAAGTAGCTTAAAAACGTTAATGATTCCTACCGAAAAAAATCTTTTAATTCTTAAATGATCTTATTTAATCGATTTGTATTCCGATTTCAAACTTAGATTTTAAAATCATAAATTATAATTGATGGTCATATGTTATGTTTCTCAATTTTTGAAATTAAGAATATGATGAAGTTTATTAGGAAAATCGACACTTATTAATGTCGTTTGATTACAATTAGGACAAATGACACCATTTGCATAAACAGAGCAATTTTGTTGTAGATATTTTTGACGACTTCCAATTACATGAGGTTATCAGATGTCAGGGTTCAAATTTATTTTCGGTTTAAAGTTAATACACCTAGGGCTGGTTTATAGAACAACGAATTAAATATTTAATCCTCGATTAGTTTAACAGAGGATTAAAATGTGGAATATGAGCCCGTGATTGGTTAAAACATGCGCGTTGCCTCGCAACGAACCTCGATTAAAAGTTAATCGCGAATTAACTTTAACTTCGCTTTCTATAAATCGGGTCTTAATCGTCCATTTTGAATTAAGGTTTGGGTTATTACACTTTCATATCATATCGCTCAACAAAACATAAACTTGGTTTTGCACATTTTTGTTAATTTACACTTCTGAATTTGTATATTTTACGGAACAAACCTACAGAAATCAGGGTTAAATTGTATTTTCGGAAAATTGAAAATATTTATCTGTTTAAAAAAATAATAACGAATGAAAAACTGTCGTTTAAATATTTTGGGTGAATTTTGTACCACATATCAAAAATTTTTGACTGGGGCAAAATTATAAATTTTGATAGTGCAGTATAACGCTAATCACGACGTTCCTGTGGATACAGGATTTAACTTAAATGAATTTTTTTCATACCCTATATTAAAGAGAACTTGGTCCACATTCCACAAATCCTGCATATACTTATGTATAATTACAAAAAAAGTTTCTTTACAACACAGATTTTATGGTACATGTTTAAATATACAGACCAAAAGTCATTCAAACATTTTCAAAAACCGTAAAAAAATGTATTCACTTTGCTGAAACGATCTTGCAAAACATCAAAGAATTTTGTTATACAGGTTTTTAAAAAATATGTAAAATGTTAAAATAGATTTTGCACGTATGGTTTCTGTACATAGAAGTTATGCTGAATATTCTCAAGGGAAATATACATGTGGTGTTAAAGTTTACCACTTTTGCAATGTTTTTGAGGCACCCTTAATATTTCACACTAATCAACTAGACGGTTTCTTTCAAACATAGCCTATAGGCCTACAACTTATAGAAATAAAATTGCAGTTAGTTATTCTAGAAATAATGAGACCCAAAAAATATCTAATTCAAAATTCGTCAAGGTGACGAACTAGTTAAAAAGAAATAAGCATGCTATGACAACTGAGTAAAATATAGTTATATTCAACGCTTTTAACAACGTTTTGTAACAACAGTATTAGAATCTCTTTATAAATATCTTTTTTAATGTGAGAAATTAACTTGAACAGAAAACTTCCGAAATTGATGTAAGCTACTTAAAATATTTGGCGCTTTTTCTAAAAATTTGTATTTATTTACTACTAGTACTTCCATGAAAAATACCTTGTGAGCGAAAAATGGAAAAGCATGGTCTACTTGAATTCCTTCTCTTTTTGCTAGCACAACACAATTAAAACGTACGTCACAAAATTTTAACATTCATTATTTTTTATTTAGATGACTTGAAAAAAATATTAGTTACTTGGCTGAGAAAGCATGACTGTCACGAACGGACATTGCGTGCTTTAGTTTATTGAAATAATAAAAGGATATTAGTTTTATCAAATGAATAAAAAATGAAACTCGTCTGCACTTAACAGTAGCCATCAATTAATTAATTTTTCATACATTCCTTTTGATGTAGCCGTTTGGTTTAAAACCTTTAATGTAATATTCTATTGCAACGAATAATTACTATCTCATAAAAAACTTCATCGGAAACGAAGATCAAAGAGCTCTATAAAAGAAATACTTTCTTAAAATTTTCTATAAACGGGCGTAGTCGCAGCTACCATGACGAACCTCATCAAAGACAGTTTTAACATAATAATATTTGCCTTACGATTCATCGGTTTGTACTACGACGACAAACAAACTAAACTAGCAAAAATTTGGTCCTACGTCTTGTATTTGTGGTGTGCTTCGGTTTCTACGTTAGCTTTTGTCGGTTTCGTGAAAGAAAAAACCAACGACATCAGGCAAACCAATCAAATGTTAGTGTTTTTAGCGTCATCGATAGCAGTGTGTCTGAAAGTTTTCCTGGTATTGATGAGTGGCCCGGAGATGCGAAAATGCATCGAGTATTTCGGTGACGATTACTTTGCCCCAAAAAACAAGGAAGATGAACTGGTTTTAGAAAACTGTCGCAGAATTTGCAAGAGAACTTTTCGGGTGTATGCTACAGTTTTGCTGTTTGCTGCTATTTCATGGAATACATTGCCACTATTCGACAAAAAAGCTAGGTTTCCCGTCGACATTTGGTTACCCTATGAACCGAAAAAAGGAACCGCAGTTTACTTTATGACGTACGTCTATGTGGCCGTAGGTACCTAAATAATTCATTATTACAATTATTACCATTTTTAAACATATTTTATAATAAAATAGTGATTGTTTACCTTGGACTTGTTACTACTTTGTTGGAACCGTTACTAGGAGGTTTAGCGTATCACGCAGTAAGTCAGCTTAAAATTTTGGAGCATGATTTGCTTAATGTTGGCAAAAGAAAATTATATCTACAACGTAACACCTATCTTAAATCATGCTCTCAAAATTTGTGTGAAGCCGTGAAGCAGTGCATCGTACATTATGACAGCATTTTGACGTAAGGAACTTTACTATTATTACTGCTGCTATCATGTATTTTTCTAGTTTTGTTAAAAAGTACGAAGACTGTTTCTCTTGGTGTACTTTCTGTCAAATCACTGGAACCACACTCAGTTTGGGATTTTGTTGCATCGGTCTAACGTTGGTACACATATATTATTTTTTATTCGCTAATTTTTGTAATACAAAACAAATACAGGTTTCTCCCACAAGTATGAACGCCGTTTTGTTCTTTGTGAGCTATCTTGCCGTAGCTGCTCAAATATTCTTCTATTGTCATTATGGGACAATTTTATATGAAGAGGTATAAGACAAGTTTTGGAATTCTTCCTTTCATGTGTTTTTTTCAGCACGAAAAAATAATGAAAGCCATCTACATGAGTCCATGGCATGAATATGATGTTAAGACCAGAAAAATGTTGATAATAGTTATGGAACGTTCGAAATCACCTGTTATCTTAACTGCTGGAAAAATAATTCAGTTAACGTATCAGACGTTTATTTCTGTAAGTTTTCGACACAGTTTCTCATATAACAAATATTGACTTCTTTTTTTAGGTATTGAAAACCAGTTACTCGTTTATTGCTATTATGAATAATCTTAATTAAACACGCAGTGACTAAAGTCCGCCAGTGTCATTAAATATCGTTCACTAAAATGATAAAACATACCGAATTAAGTGAATGTGTTTGAAATGATAGTCACTCTTCAGATTTGAATCTCAACGTTCTAGTTAATCTCAGTTACCACAGAGCACAGACATTTCGGCTAAAAACTTTCAGTTACAAGATGTGTAATTTGATTGTTTTACCACTTGATTTAATACTAAAATATTACTTTGTTGTAATTTAATTTGAAATAAATTCTAAAAAAATCATGGCGTGTGAAAATTTTTAAATTGGTAGTAATAAATTATGTGTCTGACAATTTTTAGTTACATATTTCTAGGACTTTGTGTACTTGGAAATATTTTTGTAGCTTATAAATAAAATCCTTAATCAAAGATCATTATTTTAGCTCCTGCATCATAGTTTTCAGAACTTCAAAATATACAAACCTCCTACTCATCGGTATAGAGTAATTTCTTTTAAATACCACTTTCTCATTCTTGAAGAAATTGGGCCCCATTTTCCGTCGTCCCTTGTTGCGAAGTTCCATTTGCGAATAAAACCATGAAAAATAAAGAAATTTGCTCTGGAAATAATTAGTTAATAGCATTCTTAAATTTAAAGTGCCAAAATGGTTGAAAACATTTTTGGATGTAGAGATTTGAACAAAATTAAAACCAAAAATTTAGAGCCATTTAGTTCAGTATTTGTTAAGACAATAGATAATTAATGGAAGAAGAGTAAAACAATCAACTATTTTGTTATAAAGAAAAATTGATCGAAAGTTATTTCTACAGAACTTCCTTCGCACCTGAAATATAATAGAACATATCCAGTTTTTTCGAAAAATTACAAAAGTTGATTTTGCGAATTTTATTTTTTTTTGTGAAAAGTTATAAAGATATGTATGCGATATGTAAATGTAAAGAAGCGACCTACGCGTATATTTCAATGAGTTTATCCGCCACAAAACTTTGTGGTGACGTCATCAACATTTTTGAAAGGGCAGGTACGTATATCATTTTGGATAAGTGCAGTGTAATACTATACTGTTAATAACAGTATTGTATTCCCAAATTTGTGGGAAAGTGAAATGAACCATTCCTGATTTATTCAATAAAATAAATTTACCCATTCCTTAATTTATTTGAGTCACCTTGTATAAGCGATTCTAAAATAAAAATCCAATGATAAATGAAAAGTATAGATCCACTATATTCTGCAGATTTTCGATAGGATTTTTACTTATTTAAGGAGATCGGCTACCATTATACTTACGACAGTTTCAGTGTTGGGAATACATATTAAAAATTGGTATCAAGTTATATAAATAAAAATACCCTCGAACCTGAAGTACAATTAAACAAATATAGTTTCCTATTTAAATAAATGATTCGATTTTGCGAATTTAATGTTTTATGAAAACCTCTGTAAAGGTTGTGTCTAATTTTCTAAGAAGCAAATGAATTTAAAATTTCTCAAAATCTACTGTGACGATATTTTATTGGGGAATAAAATTGTTGAAACCAATAAGAAACTATACTTTCATACGTAACTTACCAGATCATGGAAAATAAACTGAGAAGAATGTTTGCAATACTCCAAAGCGAAAACCTCCTGCTTATAAAAATTTTGCAATCAGCCTGCTTATAACTGTAGTTGGTACACAACTGCAATAAAATGAACATAACGAGTAACTAAATAGAAACCTAGTCAAGAGGGCTGCCTCCTATTTTATTGCTTTTTACTTCCCGAGCGTAAGCAAAGGAAGTATTGTAATCGAGTCCGTCGGCCGACTCTCTACTTTTACGTTTTCTCGATCTTTCATGACCCCTAGAAGACGAAGAAATAGGTCTCCCATTTCCGTCTGTCTGTCCGTCTGTCCGTCTGTCCGTCCGTCTGTCCGTCTGTCCGTCCGTCTGTCCGTCTGTCCGTCTGTTGTCCCGGATTTTTATTAGACAGATAATCTCCGAAAGTACTCGACCGATTGTTGTGAAATTTTGTACTTATATTAAGAATATCATGTAGATGGTAAAACGCTAACCAAAATTTGTCGAATCATCCCCACCACTAAAGCGATGACGTCACTTCAAAATTGTACATAGTAAATGGGTTTTCAATTGTATAAAATAACATAGTCCTACACATGTAGTTTACAACTCTGAATCGACTTTTCACCCGAAACGTCCAGATTTTTGGAAAAAAAATCAAAATTATAAAACAACATTTTGAAATTTAATTTTTAATCTGCTAACCAGAATGCTTTGAAATGTTGCAGATGTTTTAAGGCTATAAAGAGCATCATAAATCTTTAGTCAAAAAATATTTGCTTATCCCCTCCAAAAACTTGATGACGTCAGCTCAAAAGTTTGTGGAATAAATCATATCTAAAATATACAAAATATGATGAGCCTGTACTTGTCATTTATCACTCCATTCATATTTTTTGGATTTGCATATACAGAGTGACTCAAAAAAATTAATGAATGCGTAAATATATTTTATTGATTTAATCAGGAACTACAAAACGGAATGCTCTGACATCTTGCAGATGTTTTAAGGTTATAAAGAGCATAATAAATGTTTAGTCAAAATATATTTGCTTAGCCCCTCCAAAAACTTGATGACGTCAGCTCGAAAGTTTGCCGAATAAATCATATCTAAAATGTACAAAATATGATGAGCCTGTACTTGTCATTTATCACTCCATTCATATTTTTTGGATTTGCATATACAGAGTGACTCAAAAAAATTAATGAATGCGAAAATATATTTTATTGATTTAATCAGGAACTACAAAACGGAATGCTCTGACATCTTGCAGATGTTTTAAGGTTATAAAGAGCATAATAAATGTTTAGTCAAAATATATTTGCTTATCCCCTCCAAAAACTTGATGACGTCAGCTCGAAAATTTGCCGAATAAATCATATCTAAAATGTACAAAATATGATCAGTCTGTACTTGTGATCCATCACTCCATTCATATTTTTTGGATTTGCATATACAGGGTGATTTAAGAAAATAAATGAGAGCGTAAATTTATTTTACTGATTTCCTCAGGAACCGAATGCTTCGAAATCTTGAAGATATTTTAAAATTATCATAAGCATGGTAAATTTTTGATCAAAATGTATTTGGTCGTCCCCCCTAAATGACGGAGTGAATTGATTTTGCAAAACTGAATACTTAGAAATCTTGACGTTTTGAAGTTATTGTAAGCATGGTAACTGTTTAATCAAAATGTATCTCTTCATCAACCCCAAAAAAAATTCATTACGTCTTCTCAGAATTTTGCTGAATAAAGTATATGATCTGACTATACTTGTAAAATTTTTGATATTTGCTTATACAGGGTGTCTGAAAAAAATTAATGACGGAGTGAATTGATTTTGCAAAACTGAATACTTAGAAATCTTGACGTTTTGAAGTTATTGTAAGCATGGTAACTGTTTAATCAAAATGTATCTCTTTATCAACCCCAAAAAAAATTCATTACGTCTTCTCACAATTTTACTGAATAAAGTATATGATCTGACTACACTTGTAACTAATCATTGCATTCAAATTTTTTAACTTGCTTATACAGGGTGACTCAAAAAAAGAAATGAATCAGTCACTTTATTTTAGTGAATAAATCAAGAATTGCTGAACTGAATATTTTGAAATCTTGCAGATGGTTAAAATTGATTGTGAGCATGGTAAATTGTTAATGAAAATATATCTGTTTATTCCCCCGAAAAAATTCATGACGTCATCTACAATTTTTGCCAAAAAAGTTTAACTCAAAATGTGCAAAATATGATGAGTTTTAACATAAGCAACTGTGGCCTGTGGTTTAGTGGAGGTGGAGTGTGCAGTGCAATTAGAAGTTCCGGTAACAGATCCCGGCACTTCCAACTTTTTTCGCCCATCAAATCAAGAACAGCACTTCCGATTTTCGCAACAATAATGTTATAATATTTATTTATTTGTTATTGTGTGTTCGTGAATAAGCACCATAAATAGCAAATGTTGAAATTTTTTTTTGTGATCGGAAGAATATCTCTTAATCATTTCATATATTGTCAATACATGATTAACTTCGACTGTTAATGTTTATACATCGAGAGAAGCAGAGAAAAAGTACATATGCATTTGCTTCAGTTACGCCACTGACCGTGTCATTTCTTTATCGCACGTTGAGACATAGTTTATATAAACAAACTCCCAGCCATAGCAAAAAGCGGAAGTTGGTAACGACGAGGGGCGCGGGGGGAATCACTTGTTTGGGTGGCGAGACGAAACAGTTGCGATTGCGAAATGCGAAGCCAATTCGAAAAAAACTGTTGAAGAGTGAGTGTCATTGAGGATATATATCTCCAAATTTTAAAAATTGGACCAAGTTACAATAATTGTTGCCAGGTAAGTGCAGATATTTTGGATTTGCATATACGGGGTGATTCAAGAAAATAAATGAAAGCGTAAATTTATTTTACTGATTTACTCAGGAACTACAAAACCGAATGCTTCGAAATCTTGAAGATATTTTAAAATTATCATAAGCATGGTAAATTTTTGATCAAAACGTATTTGATCGTCCCCCCTAAAAAATTTATGACGTCACCACAAAATTTTGCTGAATAAATCCTATCTAAAATGTACAAAATATGGTGAGTCTCTTCTTGTAATTTGTCATTCCATTCAAATTTTTTCGATTTGCATATACAGGGTGACTCAAAAAAATTAATGAATGCGTAAATTTATTTTATTGATTTAATCAGGAACTACAAAACCGAATGCTTTGAAATCTTGCAGATGTTTTAAGGTTATAAAGAGCATAATAAATTTTTAGTCAAAATATATTTGGTTATCTTCTACAAAAAACTGATGACGTCAGCTCAAAAGTTTGCCGAATAAATCATATCTAAAATGTACAAAATATGATGAGTCTGTACTTGTGATTTATCATTCCTTTCATATTTTTGGATTTGCATATGCAGGGTGACTCAAAAAAATTA